GCTGGTCTTAAGCACACTTTTGCTCTCTTATACTATGTATTTATGTGGAGTGGCACTTTTAGCATTGACCATTTTAAAATAAAAATGTTTGACTAACTCTAAAAAATTGTTGAATATCCAGCCAAGATTTCTTTTTTATTTTAATTTTATGTGCATGCATGTTTTGCTTACATGTATGTCTGTGTACCATTAATATGTTTGTTGCCCACAGAATTTAGAAGAAGGGGCCAGATTCCCTGAACTGGTGTTTAGGTGGTTGTGAGCTGCCATATGTACTGGGAATCAAACCTGGGTCCTCTGGCAGAGCAGCTAGTACTCTTAACCACTGAGCCATCCCTTTAGCCCCTGAAGGATTCTCTTGACTGGGTTGAGATAGGAATATTGACTCTAAGTATGGCAGGCACCATCCTATGGGCTGGGGTCCTGGGCTGAATAAAAAGGAGAAAGCAAGCTGAACATCCGTGTTCATCTCTTTTTGGATGTGATTCGATCAGCTGCCTCGAGCTCCTGCTGCCATGCTTTCCCACCGTGATGGACCATACCTTCACCTGTGAGCCTGATAAACTGCCCCCCCCCCTCCTGCATTTATCTTGTATTTATCACAGCAACAGGGAAAGGAACTAAGGCAGGTGTCCAAAAAAAGCCCAATTGTTAGAGACCTGGTCTAGCCACTCAGGACAGAACAACGGAAGGAAGGATGCCCTGAGCTCTGAGCTGGAAGTCCCCACACAGATGACCCCAAGGGTGAGGCTTCTCAGTTTTAAAATGGCTTCCAGCTGACAGGCTGTCTCAGCTGTCTCTTGGAGACAATTCAAAGGCGTAATAGATGTCACAGTCTGAGAGGCTCAAGGCCCACCGAAGCCCCTTCAGCAGAGCATTCTGTATTCTTTCTCTCCATCCTTCTCATGTGCCCTATGAGTAACAATGCCCCCAGATGTGGGCCCCAAGGTCTGCAGCCCCAAGCTGCCTGCCCACCATCCCCACCACCCCTAGGCTATTATCTACTGGCCTTGTGGTGTGGTGCTGGGCTATGGGGCCCTGTGGGCCAGGGGACTGGGAAGGGATTAGAGGTCCTGCACTTGCTTTGCCCTCTTGCACAACCGTTTGATCAAAGACATTCCTGGGATGACAGCCCTGAGCAAGAGAGGCCAACTCAGCTCAGCCAAGAGTACTGCATCCTACCAGTACTGTGCTGCGTCCATTTGGGGCCTTTGTACACAAGCCTGTCCATCTCATGTTAACCAGCCTGTACCCCACACCAGACACATACAGGCTGTCATATCAGCCCAAGTACAGGTTTGCCTGGCAGTGCCAGCTCCCAACACTGGGCATATGTGGTCTGCGCAGCCGTGCCACCAAACACTGAGGGTCCAGTCCTGTGGAGCCTGACAGGCATTGTCTGCCTCCTGGGCTGCCATGGAAGAACTGCATGGAGGCACTGCAGGGAGGACACAGCCCTTCTCTGCCTAGTGTCCTACCCCAGGAGTCCTCAGCCCCCACTGCTGGCGTTTGTGGGCTCCAGGGACCTAGATAACTCCGTAGGGTTGGTGAAGTCAGCTTGCTTTCTAGGACACAGTGCAGCAGTTGGGCTGACCTGTGGGCAGCAGGCTAACTTCCTCACACTTAGTCCTAGGATGTGAAGTCAGGAGGGGAGGCTCCACAGACCCCCATTTAACGTGATGCAGAAGCCCCACAGAGGCCACACTCACTTTGAACCCTGTAGAACAAGCAGAAATGAAGGTTCAGACAGGTCGAGGGAGAAAACTAACCTAGAATGGGAAGCCGGGGCAGTCCTCGGGGTTCAGGGAGCTCAGGCTCACAGAGGCCAGGCAGGTTCAGGAACCTTGGCCTGGCTGAGAAGGGTGGAATGACTCATCAGGATGGGGGCTCCCTGCATGTAAGAAGCCTGGCAGGGACCCCTGGAGCTGGCAGGGGCAAAGAATGGAGAGAACTGGCCTTTGGTGCTGAGAAGAGACAGTTGGGTGGGCTAGCTCTCTGAGTCTTTGTTTCTGAGTGCCCTCAAAGGCTATTTTACCATCAGCCTATGAACAGGAGTGTCTACACATTCCACCAGGGGATCCACCCTCCAGTGTTATCAGTAAAATTTGAGGGTTAGAATCAGAACCTGGTGGTGGTGCACACTTTTAATCCCAGCACTCTGGAGGCAGAGACAAGCAGATCTCCATGAGTTCAAGGCCAGCCTGGTCTACAGAGTAAGTGCCAGGACAGGCTGCAAAGCTATACAGAGAAACCCTGTCTTGGGGAAAAAAAATAAAAATAAAGAATCAGAACCTGGAGCGGCCAATGGTATCTGGGATTACACTGCTGAGCCAAGGAAAGAGGCCTGGATATCAGCCATAGCTGGGCACCACAGACCACTGGATAAAGAGACAAGCCAGTTGCACCCTTAGAGACTTCATCGTGGTGTGAGCCCTTGACGCTTGACCATTTCACTTGAGCACCCTTGATAGACACTGGTGGAAACAGCCTGCCTTCCTCTGAGTGTGTATGCCCAGCCCCGTGCTATTTGTGTTTGCATTCCTAGGACCATGCTGCTGCACTTGCCACCAGCCTGCTTTATCCCAGCATATGTTATTGTGTCTCTCCCAGTCTTTCCCGTTGTCCCACCTGAACACCATAAATTTGCTTCACAGCCCTTCTAAGATCCAAGGGAAAAAGCAGTTCTAACACCTTAATGCCCTTTGGCCTGTTCCTGGAATGCCAAAGGCCCCATGCCCACTCTCCTGGATGATGTGTGGTTGTGTGGAGAGGTCTGCCAGTTTCTGGGTCCCCAGTCCTGTTAACAGGTTGATGCCCTCTGATGGTGCTGGGCTGCCAAAATACCTCTCTGGATCCTGCCCTCAGGCAGCTTTGCCCAAGATGGGCAAGTTACCAGAGGGGACACTGGAGTCTGCTTTTGGCTGGAGCTTCATCTGCCTTTGAGTCACATCTGCCTCCCTCCCCAACAAGTCCCTTTCTGCTTTCATACTTGGGGCATCACTATTCAGGCCAGGTGTCAATCACATCCCCCACCTTCTAGAAGGGCAGGGGCCAGCCTGATACCCTGGAGGCCACCTTGTTTAAGATGATGCCTTAAAATGGAGACTGAGGTCCTCAGATGGCTCCCAAATGTTTGCACAGGGTGATGGCAGAGGACCCTCAGTGCTAGGGAGTATCAAATCCCTATTCCCCCAGGGTTGGGAAACATCCTAGTCATGAGCAGCTGCCACCCAGAGGACATCAAAGGAACCCAGCCAGGCCACTCAGGTCCCCAGGAACTGTGTGAAAGGCCACCTTGGGCCTTGGCCCTAACACTAAGTATCGCTCTCTGGGCGCTTGGCAGCACCTAAGGATGGTGATTCACCCAAAGCAAACACCCATTTGCGCCAGATGAGGGGCACTGAACGCGGGCTCTGTTGATCTTCCATCTGCAAATAAGCAGGAGGTCAAGTTGGCAGCGACAGGCCCAGAGCCGCCTCTGATCAGTGGCTGCCGCTGGCCTCCCTGACGCCAGAGGCTGCTACCCTGGTCAGCTGCTACCTGCAAACACCCTTCTCTTTGGGGATCCCAGATTGGTGCTAAGGTTGGAGATGCCATTAAACATTCTAGGATGCAGAGAACAGGGTGGTCCCTCATGGCCATGGTATCAAGATGGCACATCTCCCACTCTTGTTCCCAAGGCCCAGAAAATAGAAACACTAAGCTGAGATTTTTTTTTTAAACCAATTTTATTTCTAGACTTTTTGTGTCTTTTTTTTTTTTTCCTGGACCATACTGGTCACATGTCTGTGCTGGGAAGCGCCATGGTGTGTCAACCAGAAATACACAAACCCAACCTGGCCACCAGCCAGAGCCCCTCAAAGCCTTTCACGTCACAGGGCAGACTCCGTGGTCCCACCACCAGCCTTTGGCCTTTTGGCCAGACCCTCACCCATCACCATGAACACAGTGGCCCTCAAGGGTCCGCCTGGTTCAGATGCCTCAGCTAGGCTGGTGGTGACCGTGGAGGTGACCATTTTGGTTTGGCAGCTAGCTAGGGAATTTGGAGGCCTGCAGCACTGGAGCTGGCTTTGCCAAGTCTGAAGTCTTTAAATTAGCACAATGCTGTAATTAACACAAAACAAGACAGAACACTAGAACCTAATAGAATCATTGATGCACCGGAGACTCAGAACAGATTCCTCCGGGCCCAGCAGCATGGTGGCATGCACAACAGGCCGCTACAAAAACAACAATATTGATAATTAACAAAGAAAAATACAGTTGTCCCGACTGCTGTGATGCTCTATTTTCCCAGATCAAATGAAGGGCCCAGCATGACCGGTGTAGGGGATGATCCCACCAGACCAGTCTCCGGAGGCAGAGCACCTGCCCATGGGCCCATGCATGGCTAGGTGAAACATGAGGTATTGTGAACAGGAGCCTGTTTTGTTGTTTTTCTTTCTTTTTGGAATACAGCGGTAATCACATTAAGCCAAAATTGATCACAATTTTTAAAAAAAAGGTACAAAAAAGGGCATCTGTAAATACAATCTTCTATGAGGAAATTAAAACTTGAACACGGCAGTCTATGACATTGTAAAAAAACAAAATAAAACTGACCCTCCAATAGCAGCGAAAACAATGTGAAAGTTACAAAGCGACGCGAGTCTGGTTCTGAACGTCTGGGATGTGGGGAGTCATCGGTAGCAGCAAGGAGCCGCAGCCTGTCCCATGTGGTCCCTACCCTCCACACTTCTTCCCTCACATCCTCTCCCACCTCCCTCAACACTTCCTAAATAGAAAAGCACACAGCCAGGCACACAAATTACCTACTGTTGTGGGGGACAGGGGTGGTGGCGGCAAGAATGTGCCTGAATCAAACTCATGTGGGATCCCCCAGTTTGAATGGCTCTCCATTGGGGCCATTTGGGTTTGGAAAGTTAAGCAAACCAAATGCCCGTCTTTACGTAGTTTCTGAGAACGCCCTGCCCACCCCCATAAAAGACCAATCTCTCAGACAAGGCACTAAACCTTTACCAGCAAGGGCAGAAGGTATGTGTTTGAATCAAGGGAGATCACATTGCTTTATAAATCATACTGGCCATGGACAACCTTTCCAATAAATACTCTCTGTAGCCTTAAGTATAAATTAGACACTTTAGTGTTTAAAAGCCTCCTGTGGGAAAGACTTTAAAAAGTCATGCAGAATCTCCTCACTGTCCAGGTAATGCCATAGTTCCTACTCCCAAACACCAGCTGGCACCAAGGGATCCCTTCAACTTCTCTGTGGGACAGATCCTGGCAGTGCAAGAACAGTTTTCTTTTCTTGACCCAACAAAACTTCCCAAGCACCCCGTGCTACCAGCCCTACTGTGCCACACACCCACTGTGCAGTCACCTGAACGAGTATGTGGATATCCCCCAACCATTCCATTAGGAACTCCCCCCACCCCCCAACACACACACATACCAGCGGCACTGCCTCCAGCTAGCTGACCGAAAAGTGCTTTGAAATGGAATGGTTTTGGACACAGAGAAGGAAAACACAACAAAACAGAACAAACCACACACACAAAAGAAAAGCTGTGGGTTTAACCTGATGTGAGTGGGCTGCAGGGCCGCCAGGCAAAAACCAGCGTCTCTTTAAACAGGAACTACAAAATAGGAAGATTACAAAAATAGGATATATGATGACACTATCTCATACCCTCTACTGGAGCACACTGCATAGGGTGGGGCACCTACTGCTGTGTGCCTGATGCTATGAACCTGCAGGTTAGGAGATGGCACAGATGAGCTGTGGGGGTGCCACACACCGTGAGACCGCTAGAGGTCACACCGACCGTCAATAAGGTGAAGCGGTCTGCCCATCCCTGGGATAAAGCACAGGAAACAGGTGACTAGCAGTGGCTGCAGTGAGCATGCAGGAGTGAGGTGCGCCTTTCCACAAAGCAAGTACATTCTCTACCTAAAACTCTCTTCTACTTCAACAACGGTTTGCTCTATTTGCTTTTTTTCCTTCTTTTTTTTTTTTAAAGCAATGTTTCTTAAGCTTTTTAAACATAAACATAAAATCAAAATCCTTCTGTAGACTTCCTGTGTGTTAATCCTATTCTTACAACAGACAAGCACATTAATAGAAAACTAGTTGATTACTGGGGTATAAAATCCTATTTTTGTAGCATCCCCTCCGCCCTATACTCAGGGTGATGCAAATTCTATCTCTCCTCTCTCTTTAAGACAGCTTTCAGGTTTTTTTTTTTTTTTTCTCTTTTGCTTAAGTCAGATAGAAAGGAGAAAGATTAAAGAAAAACAACCAACAAAGAGAACAAAACTTCCCCTTCTGGTAACAAAATATCCCCAAGAGGGACATCATTAGGAGCACCCCGGGCTGGCTCCTTCCTCACTGCGGGTTGCCATTGCTTGGTGGCACCCGCCTGCCCGGTGGCCCTCAGATGTCCACATCTCGCACGTCGGTGGGTGTGCAGGCCAGGTCATTCTCTCCCTCTGCTTCCCCCTCCTCCTCGGTGGCCTTGGGGTTGATGTTCTGCTGGGCCTGGCGCAGGCTGGACTCCAGAAGGGCTTCAATCTGTTCCTGGCAGGCTCGGAGGCAGTCCTGGAGAGGCAGGCGGAGATGGAGGGGGTCCTTGTTTAGCCAGAGGCTAGTGGCCAGGGCCTTGACCTGCGAGGCAGGCTTTGCTAAGGGCAAGGCTCAAAGAAACTCCCTGAGTCATCCCCAAATCCATTGGTCATCAAGAGAGCTACAAGGGACTAGAAAGCAAGAATGCCACCTCTGTCTGGTTCCAGGCCTTCAGCCTCTGCCTCCATGCCATGAGGCAGGGATGGGGGCTCCTGTGGCTGATGCCAGACAGGGAACAGTGTGTGTCACACACAGAAGCCTCCCATATGCCCACTGGCTCTGACCTACATCAAACCCCCAGCTGAGTCCAAGCCAGAACTGGACTTTTGTCTGTCCTGTCTATGCCAGCCTGCAATGTCCTTGAGGACACGTTCATAGCCAAAGCTCCAAATAGCATCTGCCATACTTTTCAGTGAGAAGGTACTCACATGTGGCCCAGTATGCCTAATACAACTGCCCCCCCCCAAAAGTTCTAGAATGTGTCTTCTGCAGGTGGAAGGTCTATACCAGAGTCCTTTGGGACTCTATCCCCAAAGATTGCACTGAGGGAGATGTGGTCCTGTCACGGCTAGGCTACACTTAGGTTTCACTTGCCATTACTTTAAGCCACTGCTCCCTGCCTTTAGGACCAGTGGCTTCTGGAAGATCCCCAAACCTCAAGTCTGGTGGTGGTGGTGCGGGCTAGGTTTGGCTCCCCCTTGCTGCAGAGGCCAGTGCTGCACCCCTCCCTCACAGCCTCAGCCTGGTCATAGTGTCTTGACACTGCACACCTCCCTCTCCCCAGGGTCCCCTGGCCCTTGCCAGATGCAGTCTCCTTTAATGACTCACCGGGTCACATTTGATTACTCTGGAAAGAAAGTGCGTTGTGCGGTAGCAAGACAGGAAGTTGTTGGGGCTGCCTAGGTTCAGGCCTTGCATTGCAGCCACCACGCTCCCAGCAGCCACCATGGAGGGCGGGTTGGAAATGAACTTCACATCTGCAATAGAGAGGGATGGAGGTGGCTGTGAGCAGGGACAGCCACAGGCCTGTGGTTTAGCTCCCACCCAATTCTGAGTACAACCTCACTCTGTTCTCCAAACCTCCCTGTGTGCATCAAGTCCAGCTCCCTTTGTGCATCAAGTCCAAGTGCATCAAGTATACCTAGGTGGCACTAGATGTACATAGTGCTACAGGCCTGTGGCCCCAGCACTGAGGAGGATCAATAGTTCCAGGCCAGAGCCTCCACTCAACTTTCAGCAAGGCCTCGTCTCACTTTAAGGAGCTGAGCAGCTGACCCTGGCCTGTGTTCCACCCCCCCCCACACACATCTCAAGCAAACACCAAGGAAGAGTCGGTCATGCCCCCCTTTGTTCCTTTAAGCATTTCAAAGTTTAAGAAAGAGGACAAAGTACAGAATTCAATAAGGTACAGGCTCTTAACCCTTTAGCCCACGGCCAGGTGTGGAGCCTTACATCTGCACCCCCAGTATTTGAGAGGTGGAGGCAAGGGGATTGCTGTATGCTTCAGAGCCACCAAGGACTAGGGACAGTTGGCCATATCTCAGAAGGATAATAGTAAGCTGCAGGGGTGACGGGCAGGTCCCTCAGAGGCCAGGCTAGATGTCACAGAAGGGATGATAACATGCTCTCCTGGTTCACTGATGCCAGCTTAGGGAAGATGACACGGGACCCCAGACCAAGTAGCCCCAGAGAAGGCTGGGAATAGCCACCCCAGAACTCCAGTCCAGGGTCCCTTGTGAGGGAGCCCTACCCACGAATCCTGGGGACTCTCTCAAAGCACAGCCTGAGAGGGGTGCCAGCTTTGTAGTCTGCCCCGTTAAACACTGGGATCATGTCCCCCACAGTACTGCGGCAGGGTGTCACCCCTCTTCCACCCAATGGATCCAGTATCTGACCCACTACCAGAGAGGATCCCACAAGCTGCTTTCCTGTCACAGCCAACTAAGAAACAGTGACAAGGACAGCCACACACTTAGCGTGTGAATCAGGGGTTCCAGGCCGGGGGTGGACACAATCAAGAACAGGTGTCAGCTCCTGTCACCTCATCATGTGTCCCAGTGCCTGGGAACAGGGAGGCTTGAAGAACATGAGCGTGAATCACAGGTGGCAGAGGGCTGTCGCAGTGAGACTCCTCTGATAGAGCCTATAGGTTTGGTTCTGTTAAAGGTCGGAGGCACCAGGAAGGGGCCCAGAAGAGCAGCCACACAGAAGGGAGACAATACCTCCAGGTGGCACCAAGGACTTAGCTTAGCTCAGTCCAGTGAACTGAGCTTGCTATGGAGACAAGTTCAAATCAGACAACCCTTTTGCAAGGAGACAGAGAAACTCCAAGCACCAGCTGGCACATTGCCCCTTCTGATGCTTGTCTGTCCCCTTCCCATGTGCAGTGGCATGACCCACTACATCCTATAAGGAACCTTAACATCTGCTTCCTCACACTGCCTTGCTGCTGCTGGCATAGCTGTCACCCAGCTCAGTAGCATGACTGACACTTACCAACACCCTTTACTTAGCTCAATTTCCCATTGTCTGAATCCACACAAGGGTACACTCTGGCCACCTGTGCATGCCCGTGTGGCCAGCCCCAACCCTAGGTTAATATACTGCTTACACAGTCAGGACCCAGGTCTGGGGGTATCCAGAAGGGAGAAGCCATACCCTTCCATCTCCTGTAACCTTGACACAAGGGTGGCAGATTCCCTGGCCTTGACCTCTGGCCTCTTCCCAGAGTGATCCCTATGTGACAGGAGCTGGTTACTCCTTCAGGGGGACAAAGCCTCCAGGCCCAGGACATAATATTGCAGTTCAGCAAGCTGTGCTCTGTCTCCACTTATCTTTTGGGGGGCTCTTAGTTGACCCCATTGTAGATAAAGGCCATACAGTAAGCTGGGTCCAGCCATACTCACAATGCATTAATGCTTGTTGGCTTCCCTGCTGGCACCCAGGGGTCCTGGGAGGGGCACTTTGCTGCCGAAACCATCCTAGGGAGGCTGTGCCACCCCATCCCTCATGTTATCTCTGGGAAACTCTGCAGCTTCTCTGAAGCTACTTTCAGCTCCATAAAAGGCTTCCTGGAGCCTCCAAGGGCTCTGCTCTCCCTAGAGGAACCCCAGCCAGACGCCTCCCTGCCTGCCAGCCAGCAGGGCCGCCCCCGCCCCTTAGATCCTTCCAGGCTACTGATGGCCTTGGCACTCCCATCCGCCACCCCCTTGCTTGGTAGGCCTCTGGGGAAGGGCTACTACCTTCAGCAGGTAGCTGGGAGGCTGGAATCCTAAAATCTTCACATCCACCACCGCTGTGAGGAAACACTAGCCACAAGGGGTGGACAAGAGAAGGTGCCAGAGATAGCAGGTGGGAGAAGACGCTACAGGCCCCTCTTACACCATGTTGCCTTTTGGCTGCCCTACAAGCCACCCAGCCTGAGCTCCAAACAGATACAGCAACTGAGGCCTGATCAGGGCCACCTGGAGGGGGGGTCCTAAGCAGGTGAGAGAAAGCACAGGACCCTTTCAGCATTTCTGAGCCTCATGGGCAGGGCTCCCAGTTAATGAGGAAGCAGCTGTCAGATGTAGGGACCACCCATTGGCAGTAGGCTGTTGATGTGTGCTCTAGCATGTCCACCCATGCTGAGTTCAATCAGCCTGCTTACCTGGGGTCTGGGGCTAGGGAGAGTCCCTTAGAGAAGCCACGTGGAGATCCTCACCTCTCTGCTTCCAACCATCCCTCCCAGTACTCTGCCCTTCTACCCCCATAGCTGGGGCCCCTTGAAGACACAGGCAGAACAGGAGGTAGGTGGGGGTAGGCAGTCCAGGCGAAGAGGCAGAAACCTTTTCAGAAAGCATGAAAGCGTTCAGTGGCAACACAGTTACCTGGCAGTGCAAAGCTTGGCACAGGGAGGCTGGGCAATTCAATTAGTGTGACCCCTACCATCTATCCCCAACAAGCTACCTGTCCCCTAGGCTCAGAACAGAGATGAGGGGACCCCCTTCTGGACATGCTGGAGACCATCACCTAGTACAGAAGAGACAGCAAGTTGAGGCATTAGCCAGGGAACCGCAAGGAGTCTGAGATCTCCTGGGGAAGAGCAGGGGTGGGGGTCCTACCTGTGGCACAGAGGGCCACAAAGGTCTGCGCATGCTTGCGGATGATCTGCTTGTTCTCATCTGCCTCTGGCATTTTGGAGAGGAAGTGTTCGATGAAATCGTGGGGAGTCATGGCAGCCAGGTTCCACTTAAGTTTGTTCACCAGAAGGAGTTCCATTTGCTGCAGAAAATGGAGAAAAAGGTCAAAAGGAGGGCAGGCCGGCTGCAAGGAGGTTTAGAGCGGGGACAGCCGGGCACCACAGATAGGTAAACAACAAAATATAGACAGACTAAGCACTAGACAAAAAGACCCTCCACCGCCAGCGCTGCGGCTCGATCGCCGCAAGGGGGCGCACGCCGTCCACATTTCAGAGTGGCTTCTCCACCAACATGGTGGGGAGTTCAGGAGAGGGGGGCCACAGAGGTGCAATGGGTTTGGGATAATGCCCACTGCCACTTCGGTGTCGTGCAGTGTGGGTGACTTCTGGAGATCTATCCGAGGCTAGCTGGGCCTCCTGTCACTTGGCAGCTCCCACCACCCAGGGGTCATGCTGCTAACAAGGGATCGCGGGTGGTGGGGTCCTTGGTTACCAGCAGCTCCTCGGGCCGGATAGAGTTGTCAGTGTAGATGCACAACTTCTCGGCGGTCAGGGGAATGGTCTCCTTCATCTTGGAGGCCACGAACATGCAGGTGGCCCCCAGCAGCTGCAGGCGGCTCTTTTTTAGGGGCTCCAGAGACAGGAAGCGGTCCAGGTAGTTCATGGCCAGGGGGAAGACCTCCTCTTCACACTTCTGCTCCTCGCAGACCTGCGGGGACCGGGACCGTCAACGGAGTGTGTGTGTGTGTGTGTGGGGTCACTCGATGTGACCCCGCATCCCTTTTTCTAGATTACACAGAGCAAATTCGTGGCGAGGGCGCGGAGAGGGGTCGCATTGTCAAACTCCCCAGGATGCGCTTTGCTCAGTACCCACCCACCCTGAAACTGAAAGGGAAAGTCCCTGGGCATCTGGAGCGGGGGAGCTCAGCAGCGGTGGCCGGAGACCCCTACCCATGTTGGAATTAGAAGGCCGCAGACCAGGGGATCCCACCGCGGGACTGGCAGGGCGCCGGGGGTTGGGCGCCGCTCGCGCGCACGCGAGACACAAAGGTGGCGTCCCAGGCCGCCGCGCCTCATTTCCCAGACGTCATCTTTTCAAAAAATATTTAAAAATATTAAAAAAATAACTAGGTGCCTAAAAACGGCCTGAAAATAACCATCAGGCGACCCTTTATCCAACCCGAATGTCACGAGCTCGGTGTACGTTGGAGAGTGAGCCCCAGCAACTCAAACTCTGGGGGCCCCCCCTTTTGCTGGGTTCGGGTGCCGTTTGCCTCTGCAAGGGCACTATGCCGCACTTTAGAAATTATTTTAAAATATTATGGGGCCCTTGAGACTCCGCTAAGCATCTGAAAATGTGCTCTGGTCTCCCGGCTTGATCTGGGTAGAACCCCAAGTGCAGACCCGCGCGGACGACGGTCAATCTCTAGCGACTAGGGGGCCACGCGACCTTGCAGACTGGCGTGCTCAGCCTTTGCTAGGGTGCCCAGGAGTCCGCTGCTTGAACAAAGGGTTCCCCCCAAATATCCCTCGCTATGTCTTGTTTAATGATTCCTGGCTGCCGCGAGGTCCCTCGTGCCTGTCTCAGCACCCCCCGCTGCCGGTCCCTGCCCTGCCCCCAATTATTAATAAACACTTTTGCTTTGCAATAAAGGAGCAAAGATGGCGCATAATACTGGCACGAGCGGCCCTTGCATACGTGTCCACCGATATTAATTTAAAAATCAAATCTATGCCCCCTCCCCCCGAGCTGGCGGCTACGCGCGAAGGCCACTGCGGAGGTACAGCAGGAATGGGGCGCAAGCGGGGGCTACAAAAGGCGCCCCTGTCCGCACCCTCTGGGGTGTCCCTGACATCGTCCTCCCTCGAAGGCACTCCTCCATAACTGCCCCCCAGAAGAAAATGAATCCCCATTACCCCATCTCCTACACCTTCCTCGTTTAAAAAAAAAATACCGGCAGTACCTATTTATTTTGAGAATCCGGATTCCTACCAACACTGCGGGAAAACTCCGTGTCAGAAGGGAAGAGAAGGGAGGAAGATGTGGGTGAGAGCAACAAGTTGCCAGGGGGTCCCAAGCCAGCAGGCTGTAGCCCCTCACCTCCAGCATCCAGGTGGCCACGATTTTCCGCATGGACGGCACAATCTCCCTCTGCACGCACTTGAAGTAAGATACGGAGGGCGCGCAGGTCTCCTCGGTCTTGAGCATGGCTCTCAGCACTCGATCATTGAGGAGGTTGGTGTCAGGGTACGCGCGGCGGATGGTCTCCACTTCGCAGCACAGGAGTTGGTGTTCCATGGCGCGGCCGCCTAGGGAGGGCTGTGGTCCTGGTTGGGCTCCGGTGGCTGCTGCTGGCGCGCGCTGCCTCGCGTTGTACTGCCGTTCTTCGGAGCGCGCGGAGTCTGTTGCTCTCTGCTACTGCGCCGACAGCCCTCTGGAGGCTGCAGGACTTTGCAACTTCAACAAAACTCCCCTGTAGTCCGTGTGACGTTACTGTTGTTAAGCAGAGATCAAAGCCAGGCAGAAAAAGGGAGGGGGGAGGGATAGGGCGGGCGCAGGGGGAGGGGGCGCGGGAGCTGCGAGCGGCGAGGGGACTAGCCCAAAGCCCCCCCACCCCCCAGCTCGACCTTCGTAGATATGCAAATCGTTCGGACTGCTTCTTTCCAAGCTGGTAAAGAGCGGTGAGGGGGTGGTGGTGGGGGGGTGTCTTCTTTCCCCAAGTGGCTCCACTGAAACCTGTGGAGGTGTGTGTGTGGGGGGCGGGGGTTGGCTCTGGACTGGACAGCTAGGAGGGAGGCCAGGCTACACGCAAGCCAGGAAAGACTGAATGGATGGGGGGTCCTGGAGACTCAAGGACACCCGATATTCAAGCCCGGAAGAAAGGGCACGTTTCCGAGGAAGCCACGAGGGCACCCACGGACCGACGGATTGCTTAGAAGTCCCGGCGTCCCCATCTTCTTTCAATTTCATAAACACGTGTAAAATTCAGGAACTATTCAACAAGCGAAGATGCTGGGCGAGCCCTAAGCTCCGGTGCAAGCTCCATCCTAGTGAACTGGGGGTCGTTGCAAAGGGCCAGAGATGTAGCCTAGCATACACTTGCTCAAAAATACAATAAAATCTCAAAAATCCCAGCAACAACTCAAGATGGTGGCCATTATTTCCTTCATCCATTCCTCCTCGCGGAGTGGGGGTGGGGGGAAATCTTCGATTTGCCTTCCTACGGTGACCAGTTCATTCTGGCCAGGGTCCTCTAGTGCCGATTTACCCAAGAAAAATAAACCTTTGAAGGAAAGGCTGAGACACGATGGGCTTTCCTAATTTATTTTTTAATTAAGAAAACTAAATCGCTGCACGTATTAGTCGCACTGCCAGGAACCAGACCACCGGAAGCTTTCCGATTGGCTTTGTTGGGGGTGTGGCTGTCTCTCCACCTTTAGAGCCCTAGTTGGGGCCGAATTCCTGAGTTGGGGGGGGTCGGAATCAAGACATGATACTTTAGAGAAAACCTATAATGTTCGTGGTTACACGAGTGAATTCCCAATCTTCTCTTAACATTTAGCCAAAGTTTTTAGGATGAAAGTGTTCTACCACCTTGGTCTATTAATCTCCTTGTCTCTTATTAAAGTTTTCACAATCCCGACCCCAACTCAGAAGAACTAGTCAGTCACATATTTCCCCCGGAATAGTTTCGTGCCCTCAAGAGTGAATGGGACGAAACTGGGAAAGCAGGGGGGCAGGGTACACCCAAGAAGCGAACCCCCTCATCTTCGGGGTGCATTTCTCCCGCTCCCCCGACTTTGGGTCCCTAATATCTAGGTCCTGTGGGGCAGTGATCCTATTGCAACTCTGAAGGTGGTGGGTGGCCCGGGCAGTGCGCCCACGCTTGCTCTGGCCACAGGCCCCGCCAAGCCTGGGAGCCTCAGCCTGAGCACGAGGGCGGCCCGGCTGCCTTTTCATTCATAAAAATCCCTACCGGGTGGCAGTAAGCATGATTTATGGGGTTGCGCACTATCACCCGCGGCTGAGTGCTTGCGAGAGGAGTACGCGGGCCTGGCCAGGGTGCGCCATCGAGGGCAGCGGGGCATAAAGAGGCTCGCCCACCCAGCAGCACGAGCTCGCGACCCGCAGCCAACACCCCCCACCACCACCACCGCGGGAAAGACCAGGAAACTGGAATTAGCATGAGCCAATCCGGACGCAGCGCTGTTACTAGGCGGACCGGGCAGATCTCCACGAGGAACTTCGTTGATCAGTGTGCTCAGGGACGGGCGCAAAAGTGCAAGTCCGGTCGGCGGGCGTGCAGAGCCGTCCAGGAACCCGTGGGGGGAGGCGCAGGAATTTGGGACCAAGCGGGGAGCGCCCATCCCCCACCCGGGGAACCCAGCTCCACCAGCTCCAGAGCCCTGGAGGGGGGCAGCAGTTCTGGGTCCTTTCCGGGCCCATTGCTTTAGGAATCTCAGAGAAAGCGTTTGGATTCTTAATTTTTATTTTCCAACGAAAAAGTGATTTAACATAAACCTTTCCCTTGCAATTTTAACTTTTACATTGGCAAAAAACCAACCAAACCAAAAAACCACCACCTCAAAGCAGGAACTGCACGCTCTGGGATCACTTAAAGTGCTCTGCGCTTATTTTCGGTGACCTTTTGGAGACAAAAGGCCACTCGTCCAATTGAGAGGGGACTACGTTATTGGGAAAGAAAATCTCAAAGTAACTTTAATCCCCTTTCTGATTTCCTCCCTCCTCAACCCCTCGCCCCGGACCAGGGTTCCCGAGAGAGACAGAGGGAGCGCGGACTGTGCGGTAGACTTGCCACTGTCCCTGGCTGTGGGAACTTCATTGAGAGGGGGGAAGGGAGCGTGTTCATTGAGGAACCCGCGCAGCCTAGCTCGGGGCTCTGGAGGGAGGTGTGGAGCGGGGCGACAATCCTGAACCTCTGGTAGCAGCCCCTCAGGAAGAGGACTGGGCAGTGAGCAGAAGCACCCAGATGGGGTCACCTGTAACCCAATACCTGGCGGCAACTTGAAAGGACTTCGCTGCTTCTGTTCCTGCTAGCCATTGCTAATTTAGCCTTTAAGTCGCCCTGGAAAACGCTTCCGAATATTGGCCGCAAGGTTCCAGAGCAATGTGGCTCCCCTCCCCCTGCAGTCATTTTGGGGCGCGCGTGGCCGCCCACGTGCTTCGCGGCTGCTCCACCTAGGTTACTCTGATCCTTATGTTAAGGAGCGGTGTGTATGCTCAGTTTATCCTGCACACTTGGGACAGCCGCATCACATCTTCCGGAGCTTGCATTCCCGAGTTAGTTTCAGTCCCCATACCCAACCCCCTAGAGAAGCTCCGAGCGTCGGGGAATGAGCCCTGGAGTGGCCAGGCTTGCTCCAGGGACCCTGAGGGTGGAGCTGTAACTTTAGGGAGGAGTAGCTGCTCGGTCTCCAGCTCTCCGAACACATCACAGATGCGCTGAGCAGTCGAACCCCAAAGTCCTTTTGGGATTTGACGACTTTATCGCTCTGGCCCAAGTCTCATCCAGACTAAATGGTGGGTAGCGGGCTCCCAGGTGGAGAAGAAAAATCCCAGCAATCGGCTATTGTGCGCTACCCGTGGCCATGCAGGACCACGTAGCTCAATCGAGGGTGATCGAGCTCTGGGGCCTAGGGCGCAGATGCTTGAGCTGGGGCCACCGCGCCTCCAGCATTGTTCCCTCTGCACCTGAAGGCGGTCAGGGGCCAGAGCCTCTCTGGCCTGCTTCCTGCAAAACCTAGGCGTCTCTATTCTTAACCTAGGCCGGTGGGGGACAGTGAAGGCTTTAGAGGAGGGGCTCTGCGGGTTCCAGATCTCGAGACACCGGCTGTGGCGGGGCCCAAACAGGAAGGACAAACATAAGCCCCAGGTTTCTGGAAAGGTCGTCTAGCTTCACATGATGAACCTACTCCGGGGTTCCTGCTCATGGTGGCAGGACAAGCGGACGGACCCCTAGCTGGGTTCCGCAGTCCCACAAACGCACGCCGGGAGCTCCGGGGGTCATGGCTGAGAGCGCACAAGGCCGCACCGCGCATTCCGTGCATTCCCGCCTGGCCGGTGTTTCGCCGCCACGTGGTCGTCCTGAGCGCCGCGCTTACCGTAAAGTTTAGAGGCGACGCGCAGCAGAGGCGAGCGCCTGCGGACGCTTGCAGGTATGCGCTTTCATAGCGCTTTTGTAGAGGTGCAGAGGCCGCGGGGAACCCCGCTCGATAGGAACGTTTATAAAGCGCACTATACTGCCCTGGCTCCACTGATATGCGTAATAAGGTGACTGACTGACCATATAAGGAACCAGAGAGGATCCTCAGCCTTTGCTTCTGAAAGTTGAATTTTCATCATTATTCCAAGTCAGTTGTGGTTCAGGTCAAGGCCCTGTTCTCAGGAGGCCCCGTCTGGAGGGTGCTTAGCAAAGAGGAAAGTGTCCATAGACCTAGTATAACTATTCTTAAAAAATGAGTAAGGGTGGAGTTGGATAGATGGCTCAGCGCTTTAGAGTGCTTGCTGGTTTTGCTGAGGGCAGGATTCAGTTCCCAGCACACATATCAGGCAGCTTCCAACCATCTGTAACTCTAGCTCCAGGGGATCTTACACACTCATCTGGACTCTGAGGGCACCTGCACTCATACATACACATAGGCACACTCATAAACACACACACACACACACACACAGAGAGAATGTAAAGGTAAGATTCAGTCCACACAGGGATGACAGGTTCTGGTCTTAACCAGTGGAATGGATGTCTGCATCTGCCACATCACATTCAGAGAGTAATGGATAGTTTTAATGGTCAACCTGACACAGCCTTGAATCACCTGGCTAGAGGGTCTCAAAAGGGCTTGTGGACATGGCTGTGGACGATTGTCTGGGTTGTCTTGGTTGCCTTACTTGATGTGGGACGACCCAGTGTGGAAGTGGGGTGCACACTCTGGAGGCTTGGGTCACGCCCGGGCTGAGCAAGAGTGAGAGAGGAAACCGCTCGATGCTCTTGATGGGTGTCATGTGACCAGCAGCTTCTAGTTCCTGCCATATTGTCCTACAGTGATGGACTGTAAACCTTGCATTCTGAGCCCAAGCAGGCCCTCCCCCCAAAAACTTATTTTATCACAGCAGTAGAGATGAAGTTTGGGCAGGTTTGTGACACTCCAGAGTCCTATAGGGGTCAGAGATTTTTGAGGCCTCTTTTGGGTCATCTCTCAATCCCTGCTTTGACAGATGGCTTCTTTTGCCATCAAGGACAGGGCAGACACTGCTGGTGGACCCGAGGGAGTCCGTGGCTCCTGTGTGTCCCCAGTGTAGCTCTGGATCAGATGGGTTCCAGCCCATGCCCATCTAAGAGAATCATGCCCTCTCCTGTGGGATGGAGTAAAAGGCACCCACCTTCC